GGCGCTGCACCTCACAAGGAGAGTCTGATGAGGCAGGATTGGCAGACTCTGGGAGGAAAGGGGTCCCTTTCTGCCCACTGAGGGACACTCACCCAGGAGAGAAATGGCTGAGCCCCATGACCAGAGGGTCAGCAGGCAGACAGGAAAATCTCACTTTCCTACTGGCTCCGTTGTGCCACCCGCTGAGCAGAGGGGCCCCGCCATCATGACAGGTGGGACCATTCCCAGAAGTCATGCATGGGAGATGACGCAGTTACCACCCACCAGCAGGACCCCCAGGAAGAGGCCACCAGGGCTATAAATCAGCCAGGCTGGCCTTTCCCAATCAATGGGCCTCCCTGGTTGCCAAGAGGGTCACCAAAGGCCAGTGCGTCAGCTCTGCCTTGAAAGTCAGAGATGTAAATTCTGCAGCAAATTAAGCTGCGGAGAGTGGAAGAGGGAGGCAGAGTCTTGCCTTCTCCTGACCCTCCCCTCTGCAGAACGGCTGTGCCCACCCTTGGCCCTGGAGTCCATCAGGACACCAGACAACTGAACAGTTTCCATCAGGCCTAGGAAGGTGTGTGTACCTTGGAAAAAAAATGTCAGAAAGGGAGGTGGGAAGACAGAGTGTGTGGCTGAAGTCTGGTTTTGTTTATGCAGATGCAAATGCCTTATGAAAAGTCTCCCAGGGTGGGCAAGGTGCCTGCCCAGACATCCACAGAGCAGGGAGAGGGAGCAGCTGCCATCACCAAAGCACGACCAAGGCAGGCTGGCTTCACAGAACAGGCACCCCCCGCCCCCCACCGCCCGCCCCGACGATTTTCCCTAAATGCCAGATCTCCTTTAGAAGCCTGACATGGACTGCAACTCTCAGACCTCTGTCCATGCCATCTCTCCAGCCCCGGACGGCAGTGAAAGCCACGCACCCAAATACCAGTTCTCTTTCCTGCCTAGGACTGTCACTCTGGCCTCGTCCCACCATCTACCTCAGTCAAGTCTTTCTGTGGGTGGCACTGCCACCTCTCCCCTCTGCTGCATGTTTTGATGGCTGGAGCCTGAGCCTCTGCCTCCTTATAAACGGGTGGGGGAGTGGAGGAAGGTTGTGAGCAAGCCCCTGGAGGGAGGCGGAAATGTCCCCTTTCTTGCGTGGCCTGGTCTCACTTTTCCAAATTAGGTCTCAGCGTGAACACACAGAGAGACACGTAGTCTCTCACTTCTCTTCTCTGGGATCTTCAGTTTTCTGAGCAGTTTTTCATCTCCAGTAAAAGTTTCAAACACTCTCTCCCCTGACTGTTCCAAATCTAAGTCACTCGAGAGATGTATCGGCAAAGGCCACGTGCGGGCTGTGCTTGGATCCGAGTGGAATAAACCACCTGTAAGAGGACACCCCTGAGAGCAGCGAGGGTGTGGGGACTCAGGACGGGTGTCCAGACGGGACGGAGGAAGCATGGCTGATGCTGTCAGGCACGATAATGGCAGGTGATTATATCACAGAGAAATGAGAGATTCACGCTGAAGAAGCTGAGTGAAATAAGTCTGAGGTCTGCTTTAAAACAGGGCCCAGCCACAGTGGCTCAAGCTGGAGGGCTCTGCTGCACGAAGCCAGGGCACATGGGGGATCCGGGTTTGGATCCTAAACCGGCTGCCATAGCTTGGGCATGGTGGCGCACACCTGCAGTCCTGGCAAACTGGGAGGCTGGGGCAGAGGAATGCGATGTGCCAAAACCCGGTAGAAACATCTCTCTCATTAAAAAAAGCAAAAACAAAAACAAAAAGAAACAAAACTACAAATCCTCCAGAAAACACTATTAGGGGAGATGAGTGAAAAAGGACTGGCCCCGACTTGCTGGTGTTAATCGGTGCGTGAAATTCACTGTACCGTCCTCTAAACTTTTGTGCAAGTCTTGAGGTCTTTCTGTAACAAAAAGTTACAAATAAAGTCTCTCTCTCTTTTTTTTTTTTGGAGAGGTTTTCGCTATAGGGCGCGTGCGCTCGCCAGACAGACAGAGAGAGACATAGAGACAGAAAGCGAGAAATCACCCCCAGGGGGGATGGTCACGCCGCAATCCCTTCTCCTCCATTCTCCTCTCGGGATCTTGGGCACGCACGCACACACGCCCGGAGTGAGTTTTAAGCCACCGGGTCCGGGATGCGAACCACGGTCGACTACGAGGGAGTCCAGCGACATAGCCATTACGCTAACTGCTGGTTTCCAAGTCTCTCTCTTTTGACCTCCACATGAGAGTTTAAGTTCCTGACCCCAATCTAGGTGCGCCCCCTCCTTCAAATTCTACTCAGCGCCTTCCTGAGGCCAGAGCTTAAGGGTGCGTGTGCCTGTGTGTGTGCGTGTGCCTGTGTATGTGCGTGTGCATGTGCGTGTCATCTGTGGTGGGGACCCTCCCTGAGGCAGCCTCTGCTCTCTGCTGCCCTCTTACCTTTCCTCAATCAGAATCAGCTCCCTGGTTCCTAGGATACTGGGTACCTCTGTTTTCTCACTCCCCATCACCTTTCCCATCACTGCTAGCCAGGTCCCCATCTGCTCCAGCCACTGGTCTTTGATTCAGGGTTTGTCTTGTCCTTATCTGTCACCTCCCCCTCACCCCCACAAGCCAGCACACCACCAGTGTGTGTTTAACCAAACTGGCCCCTTCTGCGACTCGAACATGCCCACTGCTAGGCCTCCTCTCCAGCGCAGAGAATCTTCCCCACAGGCCAAAAACTGCACAAAGAAGCAAAGGCTTTAGCTCCACGGACCTTTACAGAAGGTTGGCAGTGGGGGTGACAGCCGGGCACACAGCCACCCCAGCATGGGCCGATTGGACTGTGTGACTGAGCAGGGCGGGAAGCCCCCATCCTCGAGATCAGCTGCAGCAGAGACGGGAGGGGGCACGGAGGAGACTTTGGCTTCTCCCGCTGACTGCTCAGCTCCACCCCTTCCTGGCCTGCCTCCTGCCTCCTGCCTCTGCTGTCATCCATTACCAAGCCATCACCACCTTCCCACACAAGTCAGCTGTCACGTGCTGGGAGCATCTGCCTTGGAGCAGGGACCGGCTGTGCACCTGTCCAGCTTCCTTTGGAAGAAGGACGTCGCACACTCCCCTCTGCCCACCCAAGCAACCCAGGATGGGCCTGAACAGAGCACAGAAGCCAACCTTTGATTTGCGGTCTGGAGGATTATAAGTCCTCCATGGTGGCAGAGGGGCCTGCCACAGATCCTACCCGCCCCCAAGCTTCCTTTCCTCTGGGTACCGGTGAAACATCCCCTCCCCACACCATCCTGGCACCGCCAGCTCGGCCTTCCACACAGCTGTTAAAACACCAGCCATGGGCACACAGGGGCCAGCCAGCAGGTTCCCTGGCTGAGTTCCACAGAACTCACTGGTCCCTTGGCATCAGGTTCTGATATCAAAGAACAGGATTTTGATGGGCCAAGGGACAGAGGAAGGGCACAGTCTTCTCTGATTTCCCTGAATCACTGGGGGCCTTTTTCCATTTACTTTGTGTAGTGTCTAGCAGCTCTCTGTGCAGAAGAGGCTCTGTTTTGAAAAGTGTCTGAATAACGGGGCTGGCAGGTGGCATGGTGGTTAAAGACATTGGACTCTCATGTGGCCAACTGTGGTTTGAGTTCCGGACCTGGTGGCTCTCTCTCTCTCTCTGTCCTTCCCTGGTCAAAATTAAAAATGAATAAATAAATAAAGTTATATAAAATCATTCTTTTTTTTTTTTAAAAGAAGTGGATGAGAAGCAGTGACCAATGATGACATGAACAGAGAGGGTACCTACCCACTGTGAGGAAAACCCCTGAGGGTTCTGAGCCCCACTCAGACCAACTAGATGGGTGACTGTAGGCAAGTCTTGCCTGTGATGGGCCATATCACACTGGGTCTCTGAGGACCCTCCCGGCACGACAGTGTGTAGGTGACTCCGTGATTCTAAAATAACCACTTCTCCCTCCTTTTTCTCAGTCTCCCTAATTCAAATCATTGCCCACATCTTACTCTTTGCTTGCATTTTATTTTGATCTTCACTAGAAAGTTCCCCCTGCACTGCCCACCCAGTGGCTTTCTCTCCTCTAGCAAACATGGCTGTTTGAAGGTCAGCGTCTGTTGACATGGGGATCAAAGGGACCTTTAATATTTGCCATGTTTGATGCCTAACAAGTATTAGGTCATCAGGAAAGTCATGATGTGTTTTTCTATGCAAAAATGTGTCGTGGCTTTCCCGACAACCCAATAGATGCCGTCTCCTGACAAGGCAGGTAAGTCCTCGGAGGGACAGTAGATAAGTCCTTGGAGAGATCGTAGGCAAGTCATTTGTGCCAATGTTCTTGGGAGGGCATAGGAAATAGGGCTTTTGCCATCTTTTAATGATCCTAAGACACACATTTTCAGATCTCTGAAATCAGAAGGCTTCTCCCAATCGATGGCCTCACTTCACCCCTGCTGGCCTGTAGGGAAGGTGGTCCTCCAGGAGAGGCCGCTTCCGTTGGACATTACATGCTTTGCTTGAGGTTCTTCTGGACCACACTGACCGTGCAAATTCAGAAAGCAAACCTCCATGAGTGCTGCCAGCCTGGGGCTCCTCTTCTTGGGAGTATGGGGCATTTGCGAGCCCGACCTAGAGTCAAGGTCAAGACATACACACCTCCTTGCTCTCTCTTTCTGTGCGGCCTTCTTCTCATTTGCCCCATCACTGAGGGTGACATGGCTTCTGTGGAGGGTCTCCTGTTACAGCCTTATCTTGGGTTTTTAATTTTTCTTAGTGGGTGTAAAATAATAGTGCATCTTATAATCATAGTTTCTCATAATGGATTAAAAAGTTTCTGTTACAAATATTATATATGATATTTGAAATGATCCATCATGCTGGTAGAAAAGGAGATAGGATTTTTTTTCTTTTTTTTCGGGGGAGATAGAATTTTGGTTTCACAAGATCAAAAATGTTATGTCTGAGTCAGTAGGTGGCATGGAAGTCAAGGCGCTAGGTCCCACATGGCTGACTATGCAATTTGAGTCCCAGACATGGCAGCTTGAGAAACACACCTGGCACATGTGTGTGTGTGTGTGTGTGTGCTCAAAAATCCTGAGAGGAGCCTAGAGTAGAAGAAACTGCAGTGAGACCATGCCCCCCGGGTTGATTTCTCACTTCCCCAACCCCATCTCTTTCCAGCGAGCACACACACCCTACTGCAAAAACTAAACTAGCACACACACACACACACACACACACACATAAACCACAAAAACACAACTCATGTGTTGTCTTAAACCACTTCCTGTCTGCACTGCTCACTGGGATTTCCCCACCAGCACTTGGGGCCATTGACTAGCCCAGGACCCAGAAGTGGTTTTCCATGACCCTTGACCCTTGAGATAAAGGCAGAGCTCTTTAACATGGCCCAAACCCTTCTGGTCCTGCCTGCTCTCCAGCCACATCCCCACTGTGTTCCTATTCTCCCTCCTCCAGCTTTTTTCCCACCCTCATGTTCTCAGCTTCTGCGCGCCCACACGTCACAGAGCCTGTGAGGGACATCTCTCTCCTGCCTTGGTTTGCTTCGCTGATCTCAGCTCCAGTGCTGCTGCTTCAGGGATGCCCACCTGACCAGATCACACCCCACTGCAGGCCCTTAAGAGCTGGGGCTTGTCTTCCCTAGAATATGTCCCAGCTGAGGTTTCTTGTGCAGTTCTTGATTACCGTCCAAATCCGTCACTAGCCTGAGAGCTCCCTTGCCTGACAACTCCTTGAAGGCAGGAAACAGGCCTGTTTTCACTCAACATTACGTCCCTAGACTCAAGTCAAGTCTCTGGATGTTGGTAGGTGTCCAATAATGACTTGAGAGTGGATGAATGAATCCAGAAATGGAGAGTGAACTCCTGGAGCTGGGGGCGGGCAGGGGAAGACAAGGAGCAAGATTTGTCATCAGAAGGCCTCCACTTCTGCCACTAAACATGTGCCCTCAAGCAAATCACATCCTCTCTGTTTCCTCATCTCCAAGTTGGAATAGCATCTGCTCAGAGGGGTCCACAGCCATTGCACCTACTGACAGGGATGCTTCGGGAGGCTGTAAAGACAGCGAGAGGGTCTGCCTCCCTCCACCCTCAAACTTCTAGCACAGTGCTGGGCCCGCGCTCCATGCTCTGCACAGTCCTTTACAACCCCTCTCGGGGAAGGGAGACAAGGAAATAAACCCTCAAAGCATTTTCTGGAAGGAACACTGAACCTGGAACCTCCCAGTCTTATGCTCACCTTCTTTGAAAACTCATGAGATTTGAAACCCTCAGGGCCCAACGACCTAGACACATAAAAAAAGGTAAGCTCCTTGTTGAGTACCTCTGGGGCTCTTAGCCAGAACTGGGGAAAGGATGGAGAAGGGGGAGAGCTGCCCCTTCCCTCCTGCCTGCAGGCTGGCCATCAGATGGGGCCAGGGTGGTAGAACAGAGACGGTGCCTCCTGGGACGCAGCTCCTGGGACAGTTCTCTGCAGGTGTATGCCTTCCGCTTACATCTGGAAGGATTCACAAAGTTGCTCGCTTTGCCCTGGGATGTGAACCTTAATGTTGAGGTGGATATTTATAGCAAGGCCTCACTACTCCTTCCCACGTCGCCATCTTAGAGATGGGCATCCTGGGTTTTTGTTTCATCTCTGCCAACTGGCTAGGAATGATCCCTCTCTGAGTCCATCTCCTTCATGAGTTACACGGCAGTAATAATAATATCACCTCCCGCCTTCCTATCTCACAGAGCTCTTTGGAGGACAAGTGAGGTCACAGACCTAATGACAGGTAATATTTCCTCGGTGCAGTCGAAAGCCCCAGCTTCTGCAGCAGAAGAGCACCATGCTGACTTAGTTACCCCTAGTTAACGCAAATGGTCCTCGAGATGGAGAGCTTCAGTCTGTAAGGCATGAAGGCCGAAGTGAGAGGTGAACAAACCGATGATCAAGCAGCTCCATAGGGCCAGCCGTCCTCCCTCTGGAGCAGGGTGCTCTCGGGGGAGAGAGGATTTTCCATTTTCTAATTATTTTAACAGCTTGACTGCCTTACCAACACCCTTCCAGAAAACCAGGCTGCTGAGGGGCGTTGCCAAATGAATAATTAGTTAGCACCTCGGTGACTCTGGATCCGAAGGGTGTGGAAGTCTCTGCTACAGACACACACATGCTGCTGTGAGGGCGGAGAGGACAGGCTCTGCGGGATGGGACTCTCAGGCTCAGAGCTTCAAGCTGCCCAGGACTTCCTGGGTGCACGATCTGTTGAACAGCTCTGACAGGGGGTCACTGGCATCCCGGCGGCACATGGAGCCCAGGTCTTCTGAGCTCCCACTCTCCAGCTGGAAGCTGCCCACCATTTCCTCGAGCCACCGGAGGTCTGCCGAGAGCTCCTGCCTCAGAGCCTCGAACTGCACCTGCAGATGGTCCAGTTTCCTGGCCACGCTCCCAAGGCCGGACCCTGTGGCCCGGATGTCTTCTCGCAGGAGCTTCTTCAAGGACTTCACCTTGCGGAACTCATATCGGAGCTGGGACAGGTCGTGCCGGGAACGCTCATTCTCCCCTCGGTACCAAGCCTCCTTCTCGTTGTAGATGGAGAGCAGGGCCTCCACGTCGTCCTGGATAGTGTCATTGGCCCCCGCCAGGGCGCGGCATCCCTGCTCCACCTGGGCCACATCCTCTACCACGTGGGCAAACCGCTCGAAGTTGACATAGGTGTTGTTGGGGGGCATGCTGGAGTGGCACTTGAGGGTATACTCTCTCAGGCGCTTGGTCTTCAGTTGGGTGGGCTCCGCCTGCCGCTGTTCGGGGGCTCTGACTTCTCCTTTTGACTGGCAGGTGCGCAGACAGAGAACCAGATGTTAATTTGACACACGATCCGCAGGCGGTTGAGGCGCAGGCAGAAGGCACACGCGCAGCCTCCTTGGCATCTGCCACATGCGTCAGTCCTCGGCGAGAACCGGGGCAGGACAGGCAACCCGCAGACCATAGGAAAGGTCAAGGGGTGTGGGGTCTGCCTGCCCGCATGCTCACCTCAGGCAGAGGGGTCCACGGCCATTAGAGAGGGTCTCCACACGCACAGCGTTTAAGGGGTGCTCACGCAGACAAGCAGGCACAGCCAGGATCTGTACGCATCCACTTAAGACTGAAGCACCCAGGGCCATGCTGAGAGATGAGGCCTAAGCGTCTCTCCTTCCGGGTTCCTCAGGCCTTGGCAACACGCTGAGCAGGCAGCTGCCCCAGGACTCCTAAGCCCTGTGCTCTGGGCCCACCTGCACCTGGAGGGTTCTTAGCCGTCCCCACACTTAACCAAGCAGATGGACCTGACCTCCAGAGCACTCCAGCCCTCCTGCCCTCCTTCTTCCACAGCCTCGCTCCCTTCTCCTCTGCACACACAGAGCACCCTCCCAGCCTCCTCACTGACACTCGGGGTGGGAAGGGAAGTCTGGGGAAGGCAGAGTGTGCGTAGCTCGCCAGTCAGCAGACCAATGGTGGGAGTCTCCGTCTCTGAGCCCACCCTCCCAGAGTGCTTTTCACCATACCAGCCTAGAAGACCCTCTGAAAGAGAGCAGCTAGATACTCGGTTACAGGGCGAGTTAGGCAGGGAGTCACCTTTTCACTCTGACCGTCCCTGGAAGGGAAAAATCACCCTATCAGAGGGGCTACCTCTCTCCCCCACCAGGCTCTGGTCTCAGAAAGCCATTCCTGAGGAAGCTGGGTGACAGATTTGAGTGTCATCCTTTACTCGGCACCCCCCAGATCAGAAAGAAGCCTGAGCCCAAAGCCAGGGATGGGTGCTATTGATCTCTAACCAACTGGGTAGTCCTGGTTTCTGCTCTGACAAGTGACAGGGACATGTTCCCCCAACAAAGACTACTTTGTAAGATGGCTCCAAAGAAAAAGAGTTTCCGCTGAGGCTTGTGGGGGCTTCATGTTGTAAGTTACCTGAACCGGTGAAATACAACCTGAAGGTAGCATGAACCTGTCTGAACATCTGGCCCATGTGGGGCCCTGCCTAGCCTCCATCTGTGCCCGCAGGTCAGTGTTCTGAGCAAAGGCCCCTCCACAGGCCCCGTGCAGAGGCCACCCGGCAGCCCCGGCACAGAGCAGGCACCTGCCCGCTCACAGCAACTCAGAGCCAGCCCCTTACCATGATCCAGGGATGCCTGAGAGCCTCTTGGATTGTGAGCCGCTTCCTGCAATGAGGATGAGAAAACTGATGATCAGAAAGCAGCGAGGACAGCGGGGAGCTCCATCCTCAGCTTCCGAAACCTGTATTTGGCATCCTTTGACCAATGCCATCGAACCAGCGGGGTGGAGGATGCAAAGATGGAGGGGAATGGGCTGCACGCCTGCACCCAAGGGAAGGTGGGTCAGGCAGACCCCTTGCCGGTGACTTTCCTGTCAAAGCCCTCGTCTTCCCCTGCAAGTCGAAAGGCCTAACACCATACTGCGAGCCACGAAGGCACTGCTGAGCTGCCTGCACCCTCCAAAAGCCAGCTCTCCCTTGCTAAGCCTCTGATGTCTGTTCTTCTGTTCGTCCTCAGACCTGCTCTGGACCCAGGTAGGGTGACCCTCCCTGGCACTGTCTTTAGGGAATCAGGGCCCTTACCCTTCAGAGGACCCCACTCTGGCCCTCTCTGAAGTCCGTGGAACCGATAGGACACAGCCTTCTAGAACCTGTGACTCATTCCTCTGCCCCATCCCAGTCGTTCTCTAGGCACCCACCACCCTCCGACTCCTGGCTCATCTCCTCTGTTGGTGCCACGGGCACGGGGCTCACCCCACAGAAGGGGCAGGATGAGCATGTCTTCTACCCTCCCACTGTTCTGACCTCTCTGAGCTAGCCTCCCTCCACTCCCAGCCCTAAAAAAAAACAGGCCAACTTCCAAACACACACACACACACACACACACACACACACATTTGCATTTCAGCAGAAGAGAGCAGAAAGACGAGCAAACAAGCTGAATGCCAAGTCTCAGCCGGTCCACATTTCTTAACATCCACCCAGACTAGAGCACAATGGTGCGGGTGACAGCTGTGGCCCCGTGGAGACAGACTGACAGGAGAGGGTCAGTACCTGAGAAGCCAATGGCTTTTTCAGTCCTCTTACCGGGTCTCTTTAACCAGAAGCTTCCGAATGAAGTCCTTGGCCAGCTCGCTCGTCTGGCTGAAGAATTCCTCATCAAAGTCATAACTCACGGCTGTGATATTTGCCAGCGTTTCCTGCTTCGTGTCTCCCAGGAAAGGGGATGCTCCACTTAGGCTGAGCACAACAGAGAAGGAACCACGTGATCGCAGGCAAGGAGATGGAATGGGGTGATGGACTCGAGGACCTCTGAGCCCTACAGTGGCCTGGGCTGGGAGGCTCCGGGCAGCCACCACCAGCCTTTCAACTCAGTCCAGCGTAACATGCTTTCCTAGAGCTCCTGCTGAGTACCCGACAGAGCAACTGTGCTGGGATGGACTCAGAAATTGAAGGGAGAGAGACACAGAGACACGGCTCTCCCGAATACAACAGCAGGAAGATGAAGGACTGGGGGATGCAGAAAAGGGGGCAGGGTGACCCTGTGCAGCTGCATGGTCGAGTTGACATCTACATCTGTTGCACTGAGGCTAACAGCAGTCAAAGGAGGAGATGAAAAGATTTCCCAGGCTAAGGTGCGATCAAGGCCCTACCCCTAGCCACTCCGATGGCATAGCTCTGAGGTGGGGCCCGGACTCTGATAGCTATGAAAAGCTCCACTCTGCAGCCAGGGCTGAGACCCTCTGCTATAGCTCTAGGGAGTCCACTGCATTGTTCAGAGTCCCCCAGTCCAGGTACTGCCAGGAGAGTCAGAGAACTGACTTAAGGGGTTTTGCAAGAATGATTCCCTCAGCTGGTAAGCGCTGATGGGCCCACGATGGCTCTCAGATGACTCTTACCCACTATGCCACAAAATCAGCATTTTCTGGGGTCAGCAGTGGTGTGGTGGTTTAGGGCACTGGATGTTCACATGGCCAACCATGGTTCAAGTCCCGGACATGGAGGCTTGAAAACCATGATGAGCACATGCGTGTACATGCCCAAAATTCCAGGAGGAGAGTGTGGCATGGCCATCCCTGCTGGGGAGTGATTTCTCACTTTCCCTCTCACTGTCTCTCTCCTGCAAGTACATGCACTCTATGGCAGAAACCTTAACAAAGAAAAGCAGCCTTTTCCTGGGCTGGCTCAGTGGCCTGGTAGTTACAGGAGCCAGATCCCACATAGCTGACCACAGTTTGACTCCTAGCCCTGACAGGGCCTTGAAAAATACGCTGGGCACGTGTGCATGGGTACCCCAAATTCCAGAAGGAGGCAAAACGGAGGAGGAATTGCGTTGTGACTGTGCCCTTGTAGGGGGAAGGGGGTCTTTCTCCCTTTCTCTCTGTCGGGAATACATGCCCTCTGATAAAATTTCAAAACAGCATTTTCCATGAGTGCCATGAGGGAAGACAGCTGGGAAGCACTGATGGAGGGAACACCCACTAACCCTCCAGAGCCAGGCTGGGGAACTTGCACATGGGCGTATTTACCCTCCCAACACACCCGCGGTGGGAATTCTGTGATTCCTATTTTTCTGATGAGAAAAACAGGCCCAGAGGTTAAGACCTGTCCGGGACCACAGAGATGGAGAGGGACAGCATCGTAGGACTCCAGCCCCGGATGTAACCCACTGCATACCAGAGCCGTGCTGGAAATCTCTGCTTGAGCAACAGAATATTCCAGGGACAGGAAAGGAGGAAAGAGAAAGGAGGCAAGAGGAGGGAACAGGGATTTGGGGGAAGAAGGGGAAAAGGAGATAAAGAGGAGGCAAGATCAGGGCGGGCTCAGGCAGCTTCAGATTTGTCTCACACGTCTGAGTGAAACGGACCTTCTCCCAGGACACCTCAGGCAGGCAAGGCTGAGCAGGCGGCCCTGGCTCTGATGGCAGGAAAGACGGAAAGGAGGGCCTTAGAGCTCCTGCTGAGTACCCGACAGAGCAACTGTGCTGGGATGGACTCAGAAATTGAAGGGAGAGAGACACAGAGACACGGCTCTCCCGAATACAACAGCAGGAAGATGAAGGACTGGGGGATGCAGAAAAGGGGGCAGGGTGACCCTGTGCAGCTGCATGGTCGAGTTGACATCTACATCTGTTGCACTGAGGCTAACAGCAGTCAAAGGAGGAGATGAAAAGATTTCCCAGGCTAAGGTGCGATCAAGGCCCTACCCCTAGCCACTCCGATGGCATAGCTCTGAGGTGGGGCCCGGACTCTGATAGCTATGAAAAGCTCCACTCTGCAGCCAGGGCTGAGACCCTCTGCTATAGCTCTAGGGAGTCCACTGCATTGTTCAGAGTCCCCCAGTCCAGGTACTGCCAGGAGAGTCAGAGAACTGACTTAAGGGGTTTTGCAAGAATGATTCCCTCAGCTGGTAAGCGCTGATGGGCCCACGATGGCTCTCAGATGACTCTTACCCACTATGCCACAAAATCAGCATTTTCTGGGGTCAGCAGTGGTGTGGTGGTTTAGGGCACTGGATGTTCACATGGCCAACCATGGTTCAAGTCCCGGACGTGGAGGCTTGAAAACCATGCTGAGCACATGCGTGTGCATGTCCAAAATTCCAGGAGGAGAGTGTGGCATGGCCATCCCTGCTGGGGAGTGATTTCTCACTTTCCCTCTCACTGTCTCTCTCCTGCAAGTACATGCACTCTATGGCAGAAACCTTAACAAAGAAAAGCAGCCTTTTCCTGGGCTGGCTCAGTGGCCTGGTAGTTACAGGAGCCAGATCCCACATAGCTGACCACAGTTTGACTCCTAGCCCTGACAGGGCCTTGAAAAATACGCTGGGCACGTGTGCATGGGTACCCCAAATTCCAGAAGGAGGCAAAACGGAGGAGGAATTGCGTTGTGACTGTGCCCTTGTAGGGGGAAGGGGGTCTTTCTCCCTTTCTCTCTGTTGGGAATACATGCCCTCTGATAAAATTTCAAAACGGCATTTTCCATGAGTGCCATGAGGGAAGACAGCTGGGAAGCACTGATGGAGGGAACACCCACTAACCCTCCAGAGCCAGGCTGGGGAACTTGCACATGGGCGTATTTACCCTCCCAACACACCCGCGGTGGGAATTCTGTGATTCCTATTTTTCTGATGAGAAAAACAGGCCCAGAGGTTAAGACCTGTCCGGGACCACAGAGATGGAGAGGGACAGCATCGTAGGACTCCAGCCCCGGATGTAACCCACTGCATACCAGAGCCGTGCTGGAAATCTCTGCTTGAGCAACAGAATATTCCAGGGACAGGAAAGGAGGAAAGAGAAAGGAGGCAAGAGGAGGGAACAGGGATTTGGGGGAAGAAGGGGAAAAGGAGATAAAGAGGAGGCAAGATCAGGGCGGGCTCAGGCAGCTTCAGATTTGTCTCACACGTCTGAGTGAAACGGACCTTCTCCCAGGACACCTCAGGCAGGCAAGGCTGAGCAGGCGGCCCTGGCTCTGAATTTTTTTTTACAGAGGGCCTGGGGCTGCTGTTCCAGATTCCTCCTCAGCCTAAGCCCCAGGGTCATGTGCAGAATGGTGCTTTAGCCTCAGGTTTATGACGTAACACACCCGGCTTAAGATGGTGCTCAGTGACTGTCTGTCTGACTGACACTCTCTCATTCCTTCTGGTTGGTTATCCCAGATCTAAGCTAGGATGGAGCCCGGGGATCAGAGATACTCACAGGATGTAGGTGATGACGCCTATGCTCCTGCAAAACAAACAGCGGTCAAGTCAAGGCCACCTGGCTCCCGACCCATCCCGGCCCAGCACAGGCCTCCCCATATATTCTCTAGGGAAGAAGTCACTGTCTGGAGTCATTGAGCTCTGGACAGACACTGAGATCCTGAGTGCGAGATCAGGCTGCTGCATTTGCAGACTGTGACTTGGGCAAGTAACCTTGTCACCTGAGCCTGTTTCTCCTCCTGATGCTAATTACCCACAGGGTGTCAGCAGGATTTTAGAAAAACCAGGTAATGAAGGTGCTTGGCCAGCTGTAAAGCAGTGTTCAGGTGAAACAAGTCCCTTCCGTGCAGAGAATCAATCACTGCAGTTTCCCCAGGCCAAACGCAGTGCCCAGAACACACACTGGGTCTTCAAAACATTTGCGGGAAGTGTGTTCCTGGAAATGTGGGTGGATTGCAAACATTTTTTGACACCAAAATAAACTCATATTTTAATTCATTTTTCCACAACCTTTTTGAGGTTCCCTAACCGCGTGGTTGGCTGGTTGACTGGCTGCAGTTACTAGTGAGGACCCTTGGACAGCTGTGGCAGGCTCAGCCACCTCTGGCCTGGCCTCTCTCCTCACCCCTCTGCTGCTGACAAAGTTCTGACCCATTAATGTTCTAACTGGCCTCAGGTCCAGCCCAGCTGCCTCCAGCTGTGTGGGCCCCAGGTCCCCCACAGCTGGAGCAGCCAGGGGCTCTGCAAAGGGAGCAGAGAAAGGGGCTTTCATGGTCAAGGGATGTCATCCCAAATAGGGTCCACTTTCTATCCACAGAAGCACCCCAAGGCCACCTGGGAGGCCTGTGCAACTTACCACATGTCGGCCTCCAACCCCAGGGGCTCGTAGTTCACAATTTCTGGAGCTGAAAGAAGTCATATTACAGAGTCGACAGGAGTGTCAAATTGACAGGAAATGGTCATAAAGAACTTTAGGGAATTTGCTGCCAAATGTCTCTTGGATTCCCGGAGCAACAGATGAAGATCATGTGGATCTAACGGTTTTGAAGAAAGGAGTTGCCATGACCTGAATGCTTGTTTCCCCCCAAATTCGCATGCTGAAACCTAGTCTCTAAAGCAATGGTATGGAGTGATGAGGTCATCAGGGTGAAACCCTCATGAACAGAACCAGTGTCCTTCTAAAAAAAGTTCCAAAGGAGCTGTTCAACCTCATGAGAAAACTCAGAAAGAAGGTGCCATCTATGAAAGAGAGAGCGGCCTTTGCCAGACACCAAATCTGCTGGTGCCTCGATCTTGGACCTCCAGCCTCCCCAACTATGAATAAGTTTTTATTGTTTCTAAATTACCAAATCTAAGCTGTTTTGTTATGACAGCCTGAAAGGACTAAGACAGGAGATGCCTGTTTTCTTGGTAAAAACCCTTTACAAAGAGGCTTTGATGGGGCCAGCAGGTGGTATAGTGATTAAGGCACTAGACTCCCACACGATCGACCACGGTTTGAGTCCTGGATGCCGTGGCCTGAAACTCACACTGGGTGCATGTGCCCAAAACCCTGAAAGGGGAACAGAAAAGAGGGGATTATGGTGTGGCCATACCTGCAGGGGGTGATTTCTCACTTTCTCTCTGGCACACACACTATATCAAAAAAAGAAAAAATCAAAACTCTCCAAAAAACAAACAGGCCTTGACAGTGAGGAAGAGAGAAAATACATAGAAACACCTGAAAAAGAAGAGGGCAGGGAGAGGAAGGTACAGGAACGATAAATGGGCTGTAGCAAAGGGGCCTCCTTGAGAGTTCTAATAAAAACCAGGTCAGTGCTGGACAGTAATAGAGAATGCCATAATCTGAATGTGGCCCCCTAAAATTCATGTGTTGAAGTTGGTTATACTGTGAAGGTATTAAGAGAATGGAAACTTAATCTGACTCTGGTATTGAGAGGGTGGGCTTTTGAGAGGTGATTAGGATTAGATCAGGGTGAGGCCTCCATGATTCAATCCGAGAGGTTTCGTGAAAGAAACTAGAGCTAAAATGGACACTCACACGAGTTCTCAGCATGTGATACTCGGCAGAGATTCCCTACAACAAGAAGACTCTCACTAGATGCCGCCCTTTGACCTTGGACCTCTAAAATGCTGAGCTAAATAAACCTCTATCTTTCATAAATTCCTTAGCCTATGGCATTCGATTGTTAGTGACAAACCAGACTAAAGCAGAAGAAAAAGCAGAGAAGGCATCCACATTCCTAAGTCTGATCTGAAAAAAGGTACCTCTCGCTAGAAAGGCAGAAGGACATTCTTACAGCTACTGAGATGACAAGCTTGAAGTGCCCAAATAGGAGATGTCCTTGGGGCAGCTGGCTATCATATTTGAGTCATCAACCTACAGATAGGAACAGGAGCGGAACCGAGCGGGTAACCAGCGGAGGGTACAGACACTAGGAGAGAGTATTCTACCAAGGAGAGAAGACGACCAAATGACACCCAGAGGCTAGGCAGATAAGCACTGGAAAACAAGTGTTGAATTTCACACTCACTGCCTTGCTGTGTCCAGAAGGTAGGAAGTAGAGATAACAGCACAGATGACTTTTAAAAGTTTGGCAATGAAATGGAGGTGAAAGAGACGGCAATCATTTAAGAAGGAGGAAGAATTGAGCTTGTTCAACTGGAAAAGGCCAAGTTTGTTTATTTAAACTTATTGCATCTATATCTGCCATCCTACCCTCTGGCTTTCCCCTGCTTAGAGAGGCAGGCCATATAGCATAGCCTAGGGGTTAAGGGATTCCACATGGTGGACTGTGGTTCAGATCCCAGCCCCAGTGGCTTGAAAAATATGCTGGGCACATGTGTGTGCATGCCCCAAATTCCAACAGGATGGAGAAATAGAGAAGAAGGGACTGCAGTGTGACGATGCCTCATAGTGGATGCCTCTTCTCTCTTCCTCTCTCTTCTCTGGGTGGCACATGTACCCTCTGACAGCTAAAACTTTTTTTTTTTTTAAAGATACAGGGAACCTCCTCCTGGCTTTGCTTATTTTTTTTTAGCTTTATAAAAATGGTGTCACAGTGCATGTGATCTATTGTTACCGATTTTTTTTCACTCATCGTTATGCTTCTAGTGTTCATTACATGTTCAGTGGTCCTTCATTTTCACTGCTAGTTTGCTGTATAAATATATATCATTTTTCAGTCATTCTCCTTTTAGAAATCATTTGAATGTTTTCCATTTCCCTTATTATTGGAACAGTATCACTACGGACTTTTTTGTACATGTCTCTTCATGTGCACATGAACGACTTCCTTTAGGACAGTGATATTCAGAGTGTTGTTCACAGTGTGCAGACAGTCACTGGTCCAACAAGGGAAGTGCAGAAATTAGGAGTATGCATTTAGAGACTCACAGTGATTGGACATTCCTATGACAACCAAACTGTGATCATTTTTCTAGAAATTTCTGTATGTATTTAATTCACCAGAAGGTATGTGTACTCACTGGAGAGGAACAGAGAGAGCGAGAAAGAAAGCACTCCTGTGAGGGATGGTCATGCCACAATCCCTTCTCCTCCATTACTACCTTCTTTGGGGATTTTGAGTGTGTGTGTACATGCACACACATTCTCATTCTCTCTCTCTCTCTCTCTCTCTCTCGATGTTTTTCAAGCCACCAGGGCCAGGACTCAAACCATGTAGTCGACCATGTGGGATGTAGCTCACATAACCACATAATCACCAGGCCATAGGCTGGCCTGGAATTTATTTTTATTGTATCTTACTGACATAGATAGCAGTTAAATAGACAGACTAAAAGGTTAAAAAAAAAAAAAAAAAGAGAGAGAGAGAGAAAAGGCACACCCCCAGGCCCATCCTGAGATGGATACCAAAGGAGCTGTGAAATAATTGGTTTCCTTGACTAAAAATGAAGATTTTCTGTTGAGACTTCTCCCTCCAGACTCATTTCTAGTGGGTAGGGCTACCTGTCTCCTCTCCATCTCTCTCTGTCTCTCCGTGTCTCCCTGTGACTTATAATTTTTTTTATTTATTTTTTTAAGGTGAAGTATTCTCTTGGGCTCTTAAGCCCCTCCTTTACTGTGCTAATTGGTGCCTTTCCCCATTCCATTTAGGAAAGACACACCCTCAGCCCCACCCTGAGATGGATACCAAACCTGAGCTGTGAAATACTGGTTTCCTTAATTAAAAATTAATATTTTTCTGCTAAAACTTCTCCTGTGTGGTTTTCATTTTTTGCTTACTTAAAATCTAAAGTTTTCTTTATAATATTTTCTTTCTCCTTTTTTATTTTATTTTTTTCTTCTTCTTTCCTCTTCTTTAATTCTTTTCCTTTTTTTCCTTTATCTTGATTCATTGGCCCCTCAGCTTCTACACACTAAGTGTCTAGACAGGTCCAAGTTTATAGGATCCAAACATCTGAATATGCTTAGGGTCAGAATATTCCTCTATTCCCACTGAAACTGAAGCACAAAGAGTGAAAAAGGAATGGAGAGAGATTGCAGATCACTTCCTCCTGCACGCCTCTGAATGCTCAGATTGAACTTCAAGAATTAGCAAGAAACGCACCATCCATCAGATGACTAGAAATCACCGCAGGGTCACAAGAAATATGGGAAAGCAAGAAAATACCTCTTCTCCAAGGGAAAAGAATAACTCCTCTTTATCCTCAGACAGTACAATGAAATTCATGGAAATGTCTGATAAAGAATTTAATTCTAAATTCTTCATAGTGACAAAGCTAACGCAGGTGGTAAAGAAGAGAGACAATGAACTGCAGAAAAGGCAGGAGAAAGGAGCTGACAAGTTCCAGGAGGTGAGAAAATTCTTGCAAGATATAAAAGCAGAAATACACACTATAAAAAAGAATCAAATGGACCTATTAGAGATGAAGGCTATAATA